TTGGAAACAGCCCCTTTGAGTGCGGTGGGACACGATGGGGCCCAGCCTGCTCAGAGAGAGACGTGGGTTTTTTTCTTCTATTTCTAATGCCTCGCTGTGCTTTTTTGGACCTAGGCAGGTTATTTTGCAACGTTTTCAGGCCAGGCTTTCTGTGAAATTCAGCTGGCAACTGGAGGAAGGGCTATGCCAAAGGGAAAGGCAGAGACCTGCTGTAGCGACTCCCCCCCTCCCCTTAGCAGTTTATATAGTCCGAGTATATAGACTCTCTCCCTAAGGGACCCGCTTCATTACACTCGTGGTCTGCAGTGCCGCTCTGGGATGGAGCTGTGTCAACACGGCCCCCATTTACTGACACCTTTTGCTGGCCTGGGGAAGGGCCTGCACAGGGCAGGGAAGAGTTTCCCTCGGAAGAAGCGTGTAATCGCCGCTCACCAGACGCCCCCCGTGCTCCAGCCAGTATTTACTGCAAATCTGCCAAAGTAAACCAGCCCGCTGCGTTTTATTTCGGATAAACACAGTGCGGCCACGGTGGGGTGTTGCCTTCCGAAGGGCTGGAGACGGAGCAGAGGCTGTGGCGCCGGGGGGAAAGGGAGGGAGGAGCGGGATGAATCCTGCAGGGTGCGGGGCGGCTGGCAGGCAGGATGGGTCTGGGCCCCTGGGAATGCTTGGGACCGGCAGGCAGCCCGATAAGGAAATGCATAGATAGGATGCAAACCCCCACTTAGGTTGTGCACGTTGGCCCTGCTCACCACGCACCAGGGCTTGTCCTCTCCTGCAGAGCACCCGCGAGCACCCAGCGCACGCAAGGGGTGCAAGGGACACCTCAGGTTTTGCTGTTGGAGCGGGGATTTGGGGTGTACCCCAAGGCACGAATCCCTCCCAGTCACACACACCCACACAACATCTCCACGTACGCACACGCAGAGGCCGTGTAGCACACACGCAGCCCCTCCGCGCACGCACGCACGCCTCGGAGCTGCTCCCGCAGGCCTGGGAGAAGACGTGTGGGCCCGAAAACCGGGCTGCCTTTATTTTCCTCTTGCCTCCTTCCTCCAGCTGGCTCTTCAGGCCACCGGGAGAGAGCCAGAGCCTCTCTCCTCCCACACCTCCGACACACACGCACGGGGCAGGCTCGCTGCACGCCCTGAGCTCTCGTGCAAACGCTAAAAGTTGCTTAGAAGGGTGAAATCTGAGCAAGCGGGGCTCTCCCAGCCGCTCAACCACCAAAGGCCCAGGGTCTGGCCACCTCCGCTTTCCCTCCGGCCTGGATTGAACCATGGAAAACCCAGCGAGGTGCTGGCCATGGCGGCCTCAGGGAGCGGAGGAGCTGGGGAAGGTGGGAGCTGCTCCCCCCGCCCCGGCCTTTAGCTCTTTGCGCTCCGAGATTAGCGAGCCCCGGCCTGGCCGCTCTCCGGGGAGACAGCGGAGACCTTTCATGCCTCTTTGAAGAGCCAAGATAGTGCCGGCCTTGCCGCAGCCCAGCCTGCAGACGGGCCCCCCCGCCACCAGCCCCATTCCCACCTCCACCCCGCTCCCGGCCCTTCGCCATCGGCCGCTCTGATCTCCTCCTCTTCTTTCTTTCTTTTTTTTTTTTTTTCCTTATCCTCCCTTCCACCCCTTCGCTTTGCCATTCATTTCTGCGGGCCTCCTTATTTATTTATTTCTGCGCCTCCCTTATTTATTTATTTCTGGCAAAGAGGCGGCTAACAAGTAGCTGGAAGCACTGGCCAATATTTAACTAAGATGGCTGGCCATCAGGTCCCTTTTGTTTGCTTGCAAATTAATCATCCAGCGCGCAGTCGGCGCCAGGGTAGATTTATCACACACAGAAGGGGGAATGAGGCGGCCGAAGGGAGACAAAGACTGTTCGCACCTTCCCGCTTTTGATCTTAGATTAGTGCAGCCTCCCTTCATAATACGAGTCTCCAGGGGGCTTCGTCGGGGAGGTCACTCGGAACTGGCGGAAGTTTGCACGCCATTAGCCAGACGCTGAAATTGGAAATCATAAGCGGCAAACATTTTATTTTCCTCCGCGGGTGGGTGCCGAGCGCGGTGCAAGGTGCGGGGCAGGCGCGGAGGGCGGCAGCGACTCCGGCCTCTGCCCCCCCCCCCCCGTCCTCTTTGAACGCATTACTCCCGCTTCCTTTCCTCCCTCCTCCTCTTCTCTCCATCCACCCCCACCCCCGACCAACGGGGAGATACTTTGGTGAATGCAAAGCGATCCTAGACGCTGGTTACTACAGGGACTTCACCAAGCTGGCGCCAAGCGCTCTTAACCATGTGCGTCAAAAATGCAATGTTAGAAGAGCTAATCACTTTAGAGGTTCCGCTCCCATCTGCGCGCAGCCAGCGCCGAGCCCCCGCGCTCCCCCGCTCCGCCGCTCCGCTCCTGGAGGATTATCTTCCCCTCTTTAAAGCAGGATGGGGGGGCGTCGGGAGATCCCCCGGGGGGTGGAGGGGGGGGGAAGAGATGATGATTCGGCACCTCCCAGCGCTGGGACAGCCCGCCTGACACACGGGTGGGCGCCCCGTGCTCTGCACGCCCCCGGCTCCCACCGCCCCC